ATGAGGTTTCTCATGCCCACTCCTGCGGCTCTTACCCACTACTCCTTCTCACAATGAGGCTGATAATAGCCCCAAGCCTTCACTTTGGTTTTACACACCACCTATTGGATTCATCCTGTAAATACTTCAGAGTCCCCTGAGCAGGAGCCAGTTAAATATGGGCTATTATTAAGCAGCATTAAAAGCTCAGAAAATCACTGGATAGGTCAGTGTCATACTCAATGCAATATTGATCTGTCGATCAACACCATAAATATTGAAAGATAAACTGATGTTAAATTAAAATTCGGGAAAAACCTCATATCTTCCTAATGAAAGAAGTAAAAATTTGTGACAAAACAATTCACAATTGTTTGCTCACAATTTCAACATTCCTTTTTAAAATTTTTTAAAAATGTTTTATTTATTTCTGAGAGAGAGACAGTGTGAGCAGGGGAGGGTCAGAGACAGGAAGACACAGAATCTGAAGCAGGCTCCAGGCTCTGAGCTAACTGTCAGCACAGAGCCCGAGGCGGGGCTTGAACCCAGGAACCCCGAGATCATGACCTGAGCGGAAGTCGGACGCTTCACCGACTGAGCCACCCAGGCGCCCCAATTTCAACATTCTTAATTGCTTTTCTTTTACCCTGACTTACTCTAGGGGTAAGATGGTATTTTAATGATCATTGCTATTTTACACATTTTAATTAATGCTTTAAGTTTTGTACTTTTAACCGGAGGCAGTTTTATAAAGGAAACTATTTTCAACAATTAAAACATGTTACCCCATCAGGTCTTCAGCTTAGCCAGCTGCACAGGTAGAACTGAGCACCGTTCCCCATACCCTCCAGCATGCCAAGAATACGTGTTAGGAAGCGTAGCCAGGGCAACATGGTAATGGCTGTAACTGACAAAGTTCTCTCGCTGAGACTGTCCTTTCATATTGCTGTGGCACTGATCATCAAAAGCTTGCCCTGAACTTTCCATCACACAAAGCCATGGAATATAAAGGGGAGGGTCAGAGGAGGGCTTGATTCTAGAGCAGAGGCCAGAATGAAAGTTTCAGTGAAGTGCTTTTTGGATATGAATGGCACAGAGTGGACCCCCGTTAAATGTTCAAATTAGTTAAATCAGTTTGATATAGGGAGAAGGGGAGGAAAAAAGGAGCCAGAGAGCCAGAGAGATGGGGTTAAAAATGCTATGTACTACTGGGGCACCAGCGTGGCTCGGTCAGTTAAGCCTGACTTCAGTTCAGGTCATGATCTCGTGGTTTGCGGGTTCAAGCCCCACATCAGGCTCTGTGCTGAAAGCTCGGAGCCTGAAGCCCTCTTTGGATTCTGTATCTCTCTCTCTCTCTTTCTCTCTCTCTCTCTCTCCCCCTTCCCTTCTTGTGCTCTCATCTCCTCTGTCTCTCAAAAAATGAATAAATGTTAAAAAAAATTTTTAATGCTATATACTAAAGTTGTATTAAGTGTGCTATTATTTAATGAGCAGTCAATTTTGTATATCTGATAACACATATCTTAGATCATAATATCTCTTTGAATGGCTTAAGTGCATCTCTGTTCTTTCTTTTTTGGAAGTTTATTTCTAATTATTTTTATTTCATAATTAGGAAATCTGCCCTACCCTAGAAACTGAGTTCTGCATGCTAATGAGGGAACAGTGACAATTTGAGAATTTCAGGTGAAATGAAAATTTCTTTAGTCCGGGAACCAACTCATCAGAGTCTGGCATTCTTGTAGCTTATAATAAAGGTATCACTTCTAGTTAAAATTTGTGGTGCTCATCCCTGACCTCAGACTTGACCTTTAAAGAACATTAAATATGACAAATGAACTTTGACAGAAATATATTTAATGACTAGTTTGCTGACATCCACAGGTAAAACAGAGAAAATAGCCAGTTAAAAAAAAACCCAAAAAACTATTTTGCATCTGGCTCTCCTCACTCTGCAGCTGCTTGGAGGGCTGGGTTCCCAAGTAGGAGAAGGAGTCCTTCAGGATAAGCCCCGCACCCACGCCTGGGGACCCTGAACCATCTATCTGGAGCCAACACAATGGGCCAGAGGAATCTGCTCCTAACTTGTTAAAACACTCTGTTTGTAACTAGAGAGATAAATATTTACTTCCCTTAACCTTTACTTGTATATGATGATTTTACTTAAGGGGTGGGAAAAAAATCTGCTTTGCAGAAATAGAAATTTTCTGTTAAATGCGTAGAGTTCAGCATTAAAAACAAACAACAATGACAACAAACCTCACAAACTGTATATAATGAACATCTCATCTGTTATTAGTTACAGAATTAGCTCTGCTTAAATCTCTCTTTCCTGATTCAGGAGTGTCTGTGAAAGGCCAGTAAGTAGCCTGAATGTCTATAAAATGGTATCAAACACAACCAGTATTTAAAAGACATGAGCTCCTGTGAAATACCAAACAGAGCATTAATTACTTATTAAGAGTAATTAATGAAAATGACTGAATTTAAGTATGTTCAAAGACTTGGAAAAGACTCATTCCAAGTTTCCTCACAAACACAAATCCAAAATACAAACTTGTATTTGATGTTTGATGTCTGTAGCCTAGACTCTAGTTTAAACTTGTTATATAAGAAAGGGCTATAGAGTTATGAGAAAAACATTTTAGAAAATGAAATGAGCTAAAGTCTCCTACATTTTTGTAGTTGTGAATAGTCACTATTGAATGATTGCCTTTCTTGATCACAGCATTACATGACCAATTTATATGTGATTAAAATGATCTATCAGACAGTTTGCAGAATCCATTTTCTGGTTTGGTAACAGAAACAATGCTTTTTTTCCATTCCCCTAAAACCTTGTTATTCAAAACATAATCAGTGGACCAGTTGCATCTGAGGCTTTAGAAATGCAGACTCTCGGGCTCTACCCCAGAGCTTATAAATCAGAAACTGCATTTTAACAAGCACTCCAAATGATTTATGTGCACACTACATTTTGGGAAGCACTGATCTAAACCACAGCTACCCATATTCCTTACAAAGTAAAGATGGGTTTTTTAATTCTCAGAACTAATTCAAAAAGTTAAACCAAAAATGTTCTTTAAAATTCTACATTATAATATTATTTTTTAGTGTTTTTATTTATTTCTGAGAGATAGAGAGAGAGAGAGAGAGAGAGACAGCATGAGGAGGGGAGGGTCAGAGAGAGAGGGAGACACAGAATCTGAAACAGTCTCCAGTTCAATGTGGGGCTCAAACCCACGAAACGCAAGATCATGACCTGAGCCAAAGTCGGATGCTTAACCAACTGAGCCACCCAGGTGCCCCCAAAATTCTACATTTTAAACTTTTATTTTTTAATCAATTCAATATAATGAGTATAATACAGACTTTCAATGTGGCTCTAATTTTTTTTCTAGAAATTCCTCCATGCAGTTGGAAGTTCATTTTAATAGTCCCAAACAACATATAATAAACAAATCACAAGTTGGAGAATAAAAAAAAAAAATTCTTGGAGATAAGTATAACAGCAACAGCTAGTTTTGTCTGATATAATATTTTTTATATGTGCCAGGTTTATTACTTTGTCCTCATTTATCAAACACTTTGTGCTTTGTATGCAGTATTTTCAGAATTCATGATAACAGAATTATGCTGTAAATCCTCCAGCAAAATTGTGAAAAGCTTTGTTCAGAACAAGAGTAACCTCTACTGGATTGCGATGGTCCTTATGGAAATCCACAAAACAAAATTCAGGGTTTGCTCATTTTTACAGAGACAGAACAACTGCTATGTTTATTCCGACATAATCTGCCTTCACTTTCTGAAATAAACTAAAATTCCTAATGAATAGTATGCTTGAATCCAGAAGAACATATTATTTAAATGATAATTGAGAGTTGTGATATAACATTTTACTGTCAGATCATGAAATCAGATTTATTTTGTTCACTTACATTACCAGTTACGTATTTTTCAACCTAAATTTAAATATATAATGCATCATCTTCAAGCTTTTAAAAAGAAGTTCGGGGAGGGGGAAATTAAAGGACAATAGTGGACAAAGGACAAAACTTAAAGGACAATTTTTTGAATTTCCCAAGTGTTTAACATAAAGAATTTATTATTTTGTAATAAAAAAAAACTTTTATTTTAAAAAGAACAAAAAAGCTGTCTCAACTCTGGGTAAAACTACAAGATAATTGCATTAAAATAGAGTATGCATTTCTGATTAGGATTCTTCTCATCTGCCAACTGTCCATAATATCAAGTATTTTAAATCTAGAGATGCTTAAATGAGAGTTAATCAGAGGAAAACTGCCTCATGTAATTAAACTTGTTAAGCAGTTATGTAAAGTTTAACCAGAAGTGGTATAAAATATATAACAGTCTGTCCCTTCTTTTTGACTTTGTATGTTATATATTCTTGATGACAGGATGAAAAACATTCAAAAATTCAAAAGGGGAGAAGTGTAGCCACATTTTATATATATAGATATAACTATAAAACTATATAACTATGAAACGATATATATGTATTATATATATAATGAACACACACACACTAATATATATATATATATATAGAGAGAGAGAGAGAGAGAGAGAGATTCTTCAAACAAAAAGCATAGTTTTTATTACAGTTCCCCTCACAGACCTTCAACTGTCACTATTTCCTACTGAATAAATTCTAAACGCTTAAATTCAGCTACCAAGTCTTTCATACTCTTGTCCCAAACTATCTTACCAGGTATCTCTCACTATTTGCTATCTTCTCTTTTCTTTGCTCCAAACTATACAAAACCATTTGCTATTTCCCTATATAATCTGAGTTTCTAAATTCCATGTTTATCTCACATTGTTCCTGTTGATTGGTGTATTTTTTCTCCAATACCACTTCACCACCATCCCCCACCCCCCTACCATACCCCAAACTGCCAAGAAGGATCCTACTCTGTCAGTTAGGAGGCTCATAGTCTCCTGTAACAGAATACTCAACTAACTGTGTCTTAAATAATATAGACATTTATTACCTTACATAGCAACAACTACTTCGCTATCTTCATGTTGGCCATTGTCTTCATGTTGTTTCCACATAGTCACAAGATAGCTGCCACTGCTCCAGGTATCACATCCTCACATATCTGTGTTAAAAGGAACAGGGAGGGGAGTTCTTCTCATATGCCTTTTCTCAAGAGAAAGGAAAACTCTTTCCAGCATGCCCTTAGCAGTCCTCTGCTAAGGTACTAATTGAAAGGAATTGCCCATGCTCATTCTCTAGTTTCAAAGAAGGTGGAAATGTTAACATCTACATTTTCAGGCTCCAACATGGCAAGTGGACTGTACTGTCCATGAGGAGGATCAACGGAGGTGATAGCTATTATGTAAGCAACCAGCAATTGGCTCTAGTTCTCCAAAGCCCAGATCTAATGACATTTACTCCATTAAGCCTTCTCCAAGTCATCCAGTAAAAATAATCTCTCCTCTGGTTTCACACAACACTGTGTATATTTTATATTCACACTTTGCTTTGTATTATAATGCTTTGTGTGCTTGCCTAATTTCAACTATGAGAACATATGGACTCTATCTTCTTCATCTTTTATTCTTCATATCCTCCAGCATAGTCCTTGACTTTAGAAGGTCTTGGATAAATATTTCCTGAACTGAAAACCTCATTGATTTGAACCACAGATCATTCACTTTAGCTCCAGGGGAAAAAGAAATAACCCAAAAGAAAACTTAGGGCTTTCACCATATTGGCAATTAATACAAACTTGGCTTTTCAATAAACAAACTACATGGGTAAGAGTCAGAAACAAAAATATAGAGGGTTTGATCTTACTCCCTCTACTGATGAAAAAAAAAATGATTCCTAGAAGAAATGCTCTTTTCTCAAGACTAGCTACTGGATGGTTGAAGTAATAATCCCAAGGGCTCATCCTAACGGGGTACCAGACTCAAGCCAACTTAGGCCAAAATGTTCAGGGCTGCCTACTCGGAATGGAGGACCAATAAGTTAAAAGCATCCACAGTTGCTAAGGGCTTCATAGAGAAAGGCTGCCATAGCACTTCTGAATGTTAAATCTTCAATTTCTTAAAAGAAATAAATTTGCTTCTATTGAGTTTTCTGCCACTCACAGCTGAACCTATTCCAAATTAATGCACTTGGTCTCTCCTGGAGACTATTTTACTTGTCAGAGTCTTTGGAGTTGGTTAGGGAGTCATTGCCAGCAGGAAGGTCCTCTTGAGTCCAGCCTCAATCCAGCTTGGAACTCAACTCAACTTGAAGATTGGCCAAAACTAGTTCCATCTAGTCAAGTGGTACCATACACTGTCTGCACTCACTTCTGTTGGTGAAACTGGCTGCACATCTAGTTTCTCAAGCAAAACAAAGGACAGTAACAAATGGTCAGAGATCCTAAACATCAACATTGCGGATTATGTTTAATAAAATGCCACTTTTTTCTACCTCAGGAAGAGCTGAAAGAAATAAGTCAGGCCTTCCCAATGCCAAAGCAACTAACCTCTAACCAAAAGGAAGATGAGATACATGGAAAAATCTTAATGGTTCTTTGCTTTTTATTTATACTGCTACATCTTTTACCAAAGATCCTCATGCTAAAATTATGGTGACCTGCACGAGTGAAACAGTCAAGTGGAGGGGATGAAAAGTCAAACTAAAAATGCATTTTGTATTCTATCCTAAAGGTCAAGTTAATTCAAACATTTGTTTTTTTGGACTGAGCAGTGATTTTGTTAATATGACCAATGAAGTCAGTTAAAATAATAAATTAGTTTGTAAATAAAGATGTAAATTGTTGAAAAATATCCTTATTGCAGTTTCCATAGGTAGCTAAATCCATAAAGTGAGGCCTTGTTACAGACACTAGGATTAACACCCTGGCAGACACACAAAAGGGGCAGGAGTGCTTTTTCTCAGCTTTTCCCCACAGAAGGCAATTGTCCAGCCAAGATTAAGTTGAAAAGACATGAGAAATTATTCTGAACTCTAACAGGGAGAATTTCACAACCAGCTGATTCAAATGGAAATGCAGACCACAGATCAGATAACTAAGGTCAAAATATTCAAGAAAAGACTTGAAATGTCTGATTTATCTGGTTCAAAATTGTTCAAAACTTTCACTTTGTGGAAAGCACTTCTCAAAAATTATTAGCAGCCAATAATATAAAATTGATCATCTAATGTCACGAAGGAGGGACACCTGGGTGGCTCAGTTGGTCAACAGTCCAACTTCAGCTCAGGTCATGATCTCACAGCTCCTAAGTTCGAGCCTTGTGTCTGGCTCTGTGCAGAAGCTCAGAGCCTGGAGCCTGCTTCAGATTCTGTTTCCCTCTCTCTCTGCCCTTCCCCCGCGCACACTCTGTCTTCCTCTCTTTCTCAAAAAATGAATAAACATTAAATAAAATTTTTAAAAAGTCACAAAGGAAATCCTGAACCCATTTAGATACTGAAAGTAAATTACACTACTCTTTTCTCCAAAAGTGCCTCGTTTATAAACTACTGATTTTTTTTTTAATTTTAGATTTGCAAATGAAATTAATTGGTGCTCTTTTTCATACACAGTAGCTTATTCAGGGCCTTGTATTATTACCATTTCTTCACATACATTAAATACCACTGAAATGTAGTGATTTTGTGTTTATAGTTTAACATCAAAAATTAAAAAACTAAAGAATGTGAAATTGAATTTAAATTATTTGGGTCACTTACCCCATAATCCCATATACCATCCTTGTTATAGAGAAACCTGTCATATTCCTATTTTCTCTAAGAATATATAGCATTATGGTTACCATGGTACTTGTGAGAAACAATATAGCACAGTGGTTGAGATGTGGATTCTGGAGCCAGATTTAAACTTTAAGATCTGGGGTTCATATCCTAAATATCCTAAATGTACCACTTACTAGTTGTGTGAACTTAAGCAGGTTTTTTAACCTCCAATGTGCCTTGCTTTCCTCATCTATATCACATTGTCCCATTATGTCCCATTAAAAGGACAAAATGATTTAATATTAATATAGCACTTAGAATGGTGCCTGGGGCATATTAATATTACATAATGAATTATGAAATATGTCACTTATTAAATAAGAATCACTTCCTTAAGTAATACAAAATGTCTCTGCAGTATGTAGTATAAACTTAATTTAAAACTGCCCTTGCTATATGTGACCAATTTCCTGTAAGGACCATTAGAACATAAAACCACCCCAAGTTTAATTTGATTAGCCAGCATTAAATTATTAAGATTGCAGATTTGTTCAAGCAATCTCTTTGGTGAGTTCATTTTCATTAGAACATCTATCAAAAATTGAAGAAAGACAAGAAGGGATACATTATGGGATATTCTGTTACATAGAGTCACTCTCCATTTATTCATTCAGAGGTCAAAACAACTGGTCCTAAGAACTGACCTGCTAAATAGCAGCAGCATCTTTAGGTCTGACCAGGGAGAATTTTAACTTTTTTTTTTTAATCTGAGTGAAAAACCAATATAAAGGACTATTTTACCTGACTACTGAAATCATTACTTGTCTCCTCTCTCCCCTTGCATCATTGTCAGATTATTCTTCCTGGAGCAAAAGGTACTAAAGAGACTCCATTTTTTTTTAACCTATGACCTCTAACACTTTCAAGCCCCACTTCTCACTCTTCCTCTCTTGCCCCACATCTAGGTAAACCAATAAGAAGACCCCAGCGCTCCTTTCCTTGGTAGGGTGGAGAGGAACTTCAAACCAGAGAAACCCTGGGAACCCTTACCTTGGCCCCACCCCCTAACTGCAATAAAAATCAGAGACACTCTCTACTTAAGCCATTTCTAGACCAGCTTGGATGTCTCCTCTCTCCAGAAAGTCCCACTATGTAAATTATAAATGTATTCATACTCTTGGGGGAGGGGGAGAGTGTCATCAATCTTAAAATCCAAACCAATTTCATGGGGAGTTTGATCCCAGCCTTCATAGGGCAACCAAAAACAATTTGAGTGGCAACCACTGTTGTGTAGTTGATGACCACATGACCACCTTTGAAGGGAGCCTTTCTTCTCTGGCTCTTGGCTTGCTCACTGGCTGTGATGCAAGCTAGGAAGCATGCACTTGGAAACATGCTGCTGCCTGTTGTCAAACTCATGCTTTGAGTTGTGCTGTGGCAGTGTTGCATGTGCCGAGTCCTAGAGTTTCTGTTTATAGATTTAACTTAAACTGAGAGTTGCAATAATTGGAGTATAGGAACAGGATTATGGGGTTGGTGGCAAAGGGGGGGGGGCGGGGAGTTGCATATCTCCTTAAAGTGCTCCCAAGTCATGTGTCTTGGCCCGGGCAAGTATGTCTCAGACAGTTGTTTCCCAATTCTAGCATAAGCTATGACCTACACTAGGAGACAGCTTTTACCCTGCAACAATTGGTTGTATATACCTCACTTTAGAGTGCTTAGAGGAAAGACTGATACTCTGTGTGATATACAAGCCCACCATGCCTTATTCCTTGTTTACAAATTTTATTTCAGTTCATTTGTGCTGTTACTTGCAAGTTAGCCTGCTGTGAATAGGGTCCCCTCCAACAAAAGTATACTATAATAGGCACTCCCATTAATGCTTTCTAGCATTAATTAGAGGCTTTAGCAACCTCCTCTCATGCCCACAGGAGTCTCTGGCCCACCTATGATGGCCAAAAGTTGCCCATGACCCTCTCACATAAGACACTGCCCTTAACTCCATGTTATACACCATTTGAACATCAACTGGTGGGTGCATATGGGGCCTTTCTGGAAATGGATGCCCTTAGTCCAGGACTCTCCATACCCAGTATCCTCTTATGCCTTGGATCACTGAGGCAGCACTCAGCAGACTGGGCACAGTCACAGAGGCCTCCTTATTAAAATGGAAATGATATTTACAAGATAAAGCCCAATCTTGGCCTTCTAGAATATCCCTCCTTTAGGATAAATTGATTTCCCCTGTCTTTAGTCCCTTGCCAGATGTAATAGTGCTTAGAGAAAGTCACCCCTATCCCAGACCCACTGACCACTTAAAGAAAGTGTGTGTGTTTGATTACTCAGGATGAACTGAATAATCAAAAAAGGGATTTCATTTATTTTACCTGTGGTGATATCACCATA